CAAAAATATCTATTTATTTTTACCACACAATAACTCTTTGAGATACATCAAAATTCCGAAAAAAAAAAAAATTCCCGTGTTATTTAAATGGGAAATCAAAAATCACCACGTGACACCTCTAGATATTGATATTAAGAGCTCAAACTATACCAGAATTTTTTTTCGTCATCTTGGACGATATTTTCGCGGTAGCTAAAGAAAAAAAAATTAAAAGTTTTTTTTGGCCCACCCTAATATACACACTAAAATATGTATATATGCACGCTAAAATAATATAAAATGGCTATCAAATATTCAAGAGAAAAATTTTCTCAAGGTGAGAAAATTTTTTTCTCAGCTGAATTAGGTGGCGCTGCTTCCCTAAAATATCTAAAAATCTTGATCAAATATAAAAATTTATTGTATCAAGCATACATGATAATTTGAATTAAGAAAAAATTACTTCCACCAAGATTAGAATTTCAAGGAAAATTTTTGCTTCGGCCAACACAACTTCGGTCTTCCTTCAGGCACCCGAAAATTTTCTTGAGCCAAGAATTTTGTTCTCCAGGCAAGAAATTTTTCTTTCTGTGTACTGAACCGATCGGAGTAATACTTATACTATAAGATGCAGCGTGTTTCAGAGAAGGTTTTAGTGTATGATATGTTGATGATTACTTATCCGGAACCTATATTTTTTTGACTTGGAAATAATAAATTTTTATTGTAAATAAATTTATTCTATCCGATTGTCATTTGTTTAAAATAAATTTTTTAATTCTATTGATTATGTTTATATACACAGTAAAAAATTTTGCGTCATTGCGCCAAAAAATTTAGTGTTAAAAATTTTTGTTAAAAATTTATCATTTTTTTGTGTTGATTTGACACAATAAATGTTAAATTTACACTTAAAAGTGTTAAATATTTAACACAAAAATTTTTAACACTAAATTTTTTGACTTAATGACGCAAAATTTTTTACTGTGTACTAGGCAGATTTCTTCACTTATGAGACCTGTAATTTCTTTAATAACTGAAACTTTCAATGCTCATTACACATTTTTTTTTTTCATATCAATTATTATTCATTTTTGTAAGGAAGACACGGGAATGTTATGATATTGCACATTGAAAGTTACAATGAATATTAGCTAGAATAATTACAACGATAAAAAGTACATGCTAATTCGATAGAATTTGGAATCTGTGCAAGTAAAAACAATACTCTAATTAAATTTCAAGTCTAGATCTCAAAATGCAATTCTATAAAGCGCCCAGCGGAGCGGGCGAGTAACAGCTAGTATATATCTATATTATCGATATATAATCTGGGTACTTTTAAAATAAATGAAAAATATAATACTGCTATGACAGGACCAATGCCAATAACTTAATAGTAAATGTGACGTAAAAGGCTTATTAAAAGTACAAGGAAAAAAAATTGTAGGAAAAACTACAATTGTAACATCATGATTCAGAACTAAACTTTCAATACGATCACTTTAATAATTTTACATTTGAAAATTTACGATGTCACATCGAAAAAATTCGATTATTTACGTCTTTCATAGGCATTTTTACGATGTAACAATATCAAAGTGACCGTACATTGATAGAAGGATTTCTTAGCATTTAAGAAGATTTCTTTGTATTTAAGAAATCATTTCTTAAACATCATTTCTTAGCATTTAAAGAATAATTCTTAGTATTTAAGAAATATTTCAAAGAAATTTTTTTAAATACTAAGAAATCCTTCTATCAATATATTGAAAGTCTGGTCCTTGATCGAGGTGTTACCATTGTAATTATCCTACAATTTTTTCCGTCTAGTAAACTATTGAAAACTGCTCCAAAAACTAAACTTAAAAAATTGACGATTACCAACAAATATATAAAATCTCAAGATGGCGAAAGTTCAGATCAAGATCTTTCTGATGATATCAAACTTAACTATAAAAATCTCTTTCAAAATTGTTATATGCCCATCACAGAATTTTTCTAATTCTCTTAATCATATATAATCTACACAATCGCGTTCATTAATTTGAGTCGGTTTCTATGTTTAGGGACATATTGCCAACCCTAAATTTGGACGATTCTAAACTCTAAAATTTTTAAATCATAAATTTTTCCATTTGTAAAATAAGCTAAATATAAAAAATAATATTTCTCAAATATTAGAAACGTAAATAATGTCTCAAATGAATTAATGTATCATAAAATATGAGAAAATAAAAAAACAGTTATTTAAAAATAAAGAAATTTGCAAATAAATTTATTCATAAAATCAACAATTTAAAAAAAAAACATCAATAAAATGTCACCAGTTTAAAATTTTTGATCGATTTAAATCACTATTTAATTTTAATAAAAAAGCAAATAATATTTTTATAATTATTTTTTATTTACATTAATTTTATTATATTTCATTTGATGAATTTGATATAAAAAGAGAATCGAAAATGCCAGTCTCCTAAATGTTATATCTTTAAGTTCTTTAAAATTACAATTTGAAATCAATTATAAAGGAAAAAAATAATTTATTGAAATTCATCTCAGGACTGACTTTAGACATTTTACAGAATGTTTTATGAGTATTTATTAAGTTCAAGTAATTAATGGTACAGTAGAAGTAAGTAAAAAAATTAATAAACCAATTATATCCGTAATAAAAGAATTTTTCTATTAATTAAAAAGTTAGTTTTTGTTCTCCGGAGCGTAACTTTACAAAAAGCTTAATTTTCATAAAAATATACTAAAATTTCCGTGTTCAATTAACTTCAATATTCATTAAATTCAATCCAAAAAAAATATAATCAAAGATATGAATAATACATTTCAAATTTACAGCATAATGTTACTCATTTTTCTCAACAATAAAGATAATTTCTTATTGCGTAAAAAATGAGGAATACTTACTTGAACAAATTCCTTCATCCAATTCATCAGGTGGACGAAGATTTTTAATGACACACTGTAGTCCAACCGCACAACGACCAGAAAATCCAAAAAGTCCGCCACATGGTTCACCTTCAACGCGAGCACAAACTTTACAACACCTAAAAAAAACAAAAAAAAGTTGATATTATTAATATTATTAAAATTTTTTAATACTAATATTGAATTTTTATGATTTTTTTAATCACAATATTGACGTAAGAAAAAAAGTATAACGCTTTGCTATTGTATTTTTAAAAAATATATCCATAAGTCTCACAAAAAATTAATGAATATTTATCAGAAGACTAAATCTCACCGTAAGTTTCTAAAAAAACAAAAGTGTCCTCGAATTTTTTGTGAAAGTTTTTTTACAAGCTCTGTTATTTGGACAACTAAGAACGTTTAAATTTAAAGTTGAAAATAAATCTAATGCGAAGACAAAAATTTTTGAAACAAATGCAATATAATATATTTGCAGAAAAAATTGTAAATTTTTTTATATTTAAATTATATCCATAGTTAATTAATAATAATGATTAAAAATGAAAACGTACTTGCAAGGATCCCAAGTAAGTCCCCCAGGACAATCCTCCTCAGTAAGAACGTCACATTCTAATGGTGAACAAATACATGAAAGTGCTCTCGCAACCGCAAGAGAAAGAACAATTATACCACCAAATAAAATTAGTGGAGCTTTCATTTTACGGTTTTAAATCCGCGGTATTACTTTTTTACCAATAATCTTATCAAAAATTTCGTTATATTTTAATTTATCGAAAAATATCATTTCCCATGAATGAAAAACTACTCAAAATGTAAAATAAAGTAACAAAATTATACGAATAACAGCATGTTTAGACTAAATATAGCTTTCTTATCGTTTCATTGATAATATCAAAGTTACTGCTAAAGTTTTAACCGGTACTTATCGTAGTAACAACAACCAAAAACTAGCCCCTTCCGTTATACGTTTGAAATAATTATGATATGATGTTTAATAAATGCACTTTGACATTGTACATTTGTTCACTAGCGCGAACTTGGCCGTCAACGTCGTGGTTAACAATCACATTTAACTTCACTATGACGTGAATAACAATGAGATTATCGCAACTTGTATCCAGTCTGATGGTGCCTCGTTCAATAAACCACCACTTCGTGATATGCAGATTTTCCACGACGTCTGTTTCCCACAATACAACACGCAATACTAAATCTGACGTTAAACACAACAAAAATATTTAGTAGTTACTCATAAAAATAGATGAATAAAAAATTTTTTTTATCATTGAAAATTTTCAGTAACTTATTTGCTTTATAATTTCAAGATGTTCTTTTTATAAAATGGAAAAATTTTTGTTTAAAATATTTTAATGAACACAAAACTCGTAGATGTTTAATCATACATAACCGATGATGCGAAATCGTGTTGTTATTAATAAACAATTAGTTATTTACTTAAATACTTAATGTATACAAGTAAATGAATCTGGCGACGAAGGTTAAAAATGAAAATTTAGGACACACAACAAACTGCGAACATTCCGCATACAGGACGAACGCAGACTAGTTCGAAAACGGCATGTGAACCTAGGTGATCCTAACAACCCGCGTCGGCGCTGTTTCGTCTTCATATCAAACCAAACAACAAAATTAAGCTTTTACTAACAATTTTTTCTTATATTAACTGGAATTACTAGAGTTTCCTGTTTGATCATGCTCACGTTATGCCGATTGAACGAACTTCATAATTATAAATCTTGGTAATTCATACTTTTTATTATAATCATAAATATAAGCATTAATACAAATCAATATTTATATTGATTCAATTGAGAAATACATTAATAAAAATGTTACGAATCTAAGTATGAATTTATACTATTAACTTCCAGTCAAGGAAATTGTAAATTTCTATAAAAATAGTAAATCATTAAAATTTAGTAAAAAAAATCACTCTTCACTACAAGCTATATCAAAGTATGCCGGTCTTCGGAAATAATTATTTTTTATTACTTTATAAAGATAAAAAAAATTTCCGCTAAGTGCCATCGCTGTAAAAAAGATTGCTCTATAAAGTCCTAGTTTTTTCATTTCATTAAGATGTTTCGTTTTTTCAATCGAAGCCATCCAGATTGAAATACGATCTTCTGTAAAATTTTAATGCTTGAATATTGTAATATTTTATTTAAACTTGATCGATAAAAAGTAAACTCAGAAATTCTAGAAAGTTAATAAATTTGCAAATAGTATCATGAATTCCTTGACAGATATTAAAGCTTCGACGATCATTGTAAAATTATTTTTATTATTATTATTATTATTATTAATTTATTTATAGTCGCATAAACGTCTATGGTCATGAGCGACTACTGAAAGATACAATGTTGAATATATGATTTACATAATAGATATAATAGATGTAGTATTTAAGAGGTCGGTAGATTTATATTTTTGAGGTAATTTTTAATTTTTTTAACAATTTTAGTACTTCGTTGGGATTCTGGGTCCGAGTCGGAACGCTTCACGTAATAATTATCCGTAACTCCTATTCTTTCCCGATTCACAGCATTATTTATATTTGTTAAAAAATGTGGAACGCTTCACGATTTTGCGTGAAGCGCAAATTGGGCTTACCCTGGAAGTCTGTATAGAGAGGCTCAAATTTAATGGGCCCTTTCACCTTCTATGGGTAGTTTTCACTATCGAAATACCGTATCTCGTGTGTCACGGAGAA